GACCCTCCGGGCACCCCCGCGGTCTGCGATCCCTCCAGCAGGGAAGTCATTTATAGCACGGCGGCGGAGCGCACCGCGCGGGCGCTCCGGAGCCGCCCCGGCTCTGCATTTGGCCAGGGGCTCGACGTGGCTGTGTTTCTATGGAGAACGGGATGTCCTGGCCGCGACAGCGTGTCTCCAGGCGAACCTTCCAGGGAAGCAAAGGCTTCACAGGCGCTTTCCCAAAGGCTCTGACCTCCGTCCGTCCCCGTCCGGCAGCTCCCAGCAGGGTCAGCTCTCCTCGGCGCCGGCGGCAGCGCCACCGAGCCTCTCGCCCCCAATCTGAATTGAAAAATGCTCAGTCTGAATTTGCTTGTTAGCTCTGATCTAACAGGTTCTCAGCAAATATTCCCACAAGTTATTAAGCAAGGGTTGTTTTTTATTATTATTTTATTTTATTCGATATATGAAAGCCAGAATCCTCAAAACAAATAGATGAACCAATTAAAGCGACTGAGATCGAAAACTTGCTAAAGCAGAGCAGCACCTTTGGTTGCAATCCAGGCAGTTTATGGCAGGTACTTTGTGTCTGGCTGACATTCAGCTGACAGCTTTCCAAGCATATAAAAACCTTATTAGGCTGAAAATAGAGTTTGTGATCATAAAATGTCAAGAGCGCTGCCACTACTGTCAGCATTTCCAGCCCTGGTGCGCTCCAGGTAGGACGCCCGTCAGCTCGGGCTGCCGGGGGTGCAGAGCTCGGGAGGATGGGGCTGCGCGGCCCCTTGCAGAGGGACCACTTGGCTGGTGGCACCTTCCAGGGGTGGGTGGCCGAGGAGCAGGTCTGCCAGCGTGAGCGCCCTGCCCTGCTCCCTGGGATGGGCTGTGCTGTGCTGCTGCAGCGTCTGTGAGATGCCAAGGCGTCAGGAGGGGGCACAGCCGACGTTTAGCATGGGTGGCCAGGCAAGGTGGGGGGCGACGGTCCTCCAGCGCGAATGCCCTGGGGTTTGATCTCTGCAAGCCTTATCCATGTTGATCGCTCAGAGGCAACCTGCATTTGCAAAGAGTTGATATCCAGCGCTTTATTAATTCACTCGCTGAGTTTCCAGATTGTGGCACAGAGAAAAGTGCCTGCAGCCTCCGAAGACTTGGGGAGAGACACAGCAGGGGAAAGCTGTGAGCTTGCGGGTGAAACTCAGGCAGCTGGCGGGGCATCCTGGGGCACCAGAAATCCCTGCCCTGAGCTAACCCCAGAGCAAATCTCTGCCAGAGCTAGAAGCAAAGAGGGTGGGAGCTGCTGGTAGCCCAGAGCATGGCCTGCAGGACAGAGGCAGGTTAGGCCTGGCTAGCGGCAGGTGGGATATAAGATATTTTACAGGAAGATTAATGCAATCATGGGGCAGAAGCAAATGTTAAGTCTGGGTTCAGCCAGGGACACTGTCTTCAGACAAGGGCATCCCCCGGCCCCTCGAGCGGAGCAGAGGGATCGCTTCCATCCGTCAGCCCCCGAGCAGCTTCACGGCCGGCGCGTGGCGGGGGACACTGGCCCGCAGCGCTTGGAGTTGCAGCCTCCTCTGGGCAGCTGCACTTTTACGATTATTCCTATCTCCGTATCTAATCCCTTTTAGAAATAAACCAATCTTCTGCTTTAATAATATCCTGTGGCATTGTGAGGCTATAATCTTGGTATTAAATGGCATTAAAGCCAGAATAGCTAAAGAAAAACATCTATTTGTTCTTTAAAAATAACCGAAAGAAGCAGAGCATGCCACAATGGGTCTGTGAGCCCCTCGGAGAGCTGCAACACCTCCCTGACAAAATCAGCGCCAGGGACGGCACCTGATGGAGCCAGATCCCAGCCCCGGTTCGAGGGTGCAGTGCAG